CCAATTTGCAACAAAAAACCAGGACATGTTTTTATGCTCAGTTTGCTGATAACAGAATCTTCGAACAGGAAAATTTACAGCAGCACAAAATGGGTACAACAAACGTACTACATCAGTACATGGCTTGAAGTAACTTTACGGATTTTCAGTTATTTAAAAGACGTAATGAGAGCAATGAAAACTACAAGAGTGGACAATGGAAGAATTTTGTTATATCAAAATGTTAAATTAAGGAGATATAAGGTATTTTCTTCCTCCTTTCTGCATGCCTTCCTGCCGCAATGGTGCGTAATTGAGAGATTCAGGTTCGAGTCCCGGCGAGGGTATTGTACATTTTCACCTCTCCAGCTATCAGACAATAACCTAATGACGCTACAGTGGCGCCCAAACTAAAAAAGGTGGTGGATGATGATTCTTCATCACCAGGATTTGGCGATTGGATCCCGTAATTTCCAGTCGCCCTTTAAAGGGGCGATTATATAAGGTATTTTCTCCCTCCTTTCTGCATGCCTTCGTCGCGTAACGGTAGCACTCTCGGCGCGTATTCGAGAGGTCCAGGTTCGAGTCCTGCTGAAGGCATTGCACATTTTTCACTTTTCTAGCTATCAGAAAAACACATAATGACTCTACAGAGTTACAAAAGACATTTTTAAAATCCGGAAGCATCTAAGACTCGAATTTCACATTAGTTTCATTTTTAACTCGCATGCTTTTTTAATTAGCTTGGCTTTTAACTGAAGATAAACAGAGAGCGGACTACAAAATAGTGTGTATACTTTCACTGATGCACACCAGTTATTCTTCCAGATATTAGTTATTTCGCTAATGTGCAAATTACAAAACAGCATAAAGAGGAGATCAAAATGGTGTTATGGTTAATACTAGTTCAATCAAAACGTAAATCTTCAGTGACTGAAGAAAGACAAGCAGTCAATAATAACATTAAAAGATGCATTTATGCTAAAGATACAAAGCAAAGCCTTTCATCAAGATATTTCACCCATTAATGTAATAAAACTCGCGCTCTAACGTTTTCGAAACATAACGAGTTTGCTGAATCGGCTTCAGAAATGATGAAAAGACTTACGTCGCCACATTCTGTACTGCAAAAGTGCATCACCAAGTTGAGGAAATTAACACTGAAATGTGTTGCGCAGAAAAGAAGGAAATAATAACATAAATCAGACTGTTAAATTAAATGACGGTGGCAAAACGTAAATGCACAAGTTTGTTAGAATTTAGCTCGAATTTGTCTACCTCAGAATATTTGATTGATTTCTATATATTTTTATCGAGGCATGAAAGTTACGTTGTCGTGTATTTGGTAAACGCAGCGCTTTCCAAACGAAAAAACAAAGATTCATAAGGTTAATATTTAGTTTAGTATTGCCACTTTAGTTCTATAAACCCTAACAGATATCATGCAGCGAGTTATCGTTATATCTGATATAGTACGACAAAGTATTACGAAGCTTTTAAAACAACTTGTAAGGTATATTTTAATTTTATAGTAGTTACTTTAACTTTGAAACCCTTTTCGTTCTGTTCTTGTTTCCAGTTACAACTTCCTACCAGAATAAGTTTTTAGAATCGCGTTCAATGCAAATGAGTAAGAAGAAGTATTTAAAGAAGATTCAGTTTACTTCGATAGAGAGTGCTAGGAGTTCTTAGTTGCGCGTTTTTGCCTTCTGGCTAAGTCACTCTTGAAGGTGTTACTACTCTTAACACTGAACTAACGTTGGCACATTACCTTTAAAATAAACACATACGATGTGATATGACGTGGGGGTGGTGGGCTCGCAGCCTTATACTCCTAGAATTTACGTTACACAATGTCTTTTTATGGGCTGCAACAAAGCAAACCAAAAACAACAACAGCCAACAACCCTAATAAAACAAAACAAAACAGAAAAAGTTACAAAAAGTAGTAGAAAAGAAAAATCAATAAAATACAAACAAAAAATCCTAAGATTTCTGGATTTTTTATTCTAAGCGCTGATAAAGGAAAACAACGAAACAAAAAGGAGTTAGAAACAAACTAAAACAAATAAATAAATAAAAATCTGAAAGCTTTCAGATTTTACATTACACCAAAGGGGGTATTTTAACATTTTGTGTGTTACCTTTATTTATTAAATAACATGTTCTTCGCACTTAAACCATAAAATTCAATTCAACGGCAATGTCGCAAAATAATTTTAAAATCAGCATATATTTAAATTTTCCCATATACAATCTCGTGCGCTGAAGATAAAAATGTCTTTTCCCCCGAAGAATGTTGCCATTCCTCGCTTTGAAATCGTAGAGTTTGTTAATTAAAATCTCGTTAAAGTGTTACAAAATATGAAATCGATAATAAAACAAATTCCATATTCCAAATTAGGGCTACCAGATGCCCATATTCGGGGAATGATTACGTTATTCAAAACTGGATGGCTCTAGGTACCGTTGTTTTATGACAATGCGAGAAAGATACATATATTTATACAGATTCTTCATTATTTAATTTCTTTAAATATAATACAGGGTTCTAATATTGGGTGGCAACAATCTGAAAAGTGAAACGTCTTTTATAGTAAACCAACGCAAAATGGCAAAACGAAATTAATAGCCCTTCTGGGCTAACGCTCTTTGGGCTAATAAAAGAAAAATGCTCAGAACGCTAACACAAACCTGCACCCATATGTTAAACTTCCATATTATGCCTATTCTTGCCATAATTTTCTCTGCAATCATTTTCACTGCTGTAGTATTGCAATTCAATGTCTTAAAGTCCTTGTCTTCTCCTTCTTATTTCTGGTGGCAGCACGCTGTTCAACAAAAATGGCGTGCATCTCCAATCACATTGCATAACTTGCATCTTGAAGCCCAAACCTATTAAAATAATAGCGAAATTTTCCATGGGCTCTTATTCGATTAACATCTGCAAGCTTCAATTTAATTTCATAACTCGTTGTTTTAAATTACTCTTCTATCAAGCCTCGTTTCATTTCCCTGCCAGAATGTAAATTTCCAGTGAACGCGATATTCAAATTAGGGAGAAAGAAGGAAATACTTAAAGAAAGGTTTTTGGAGAATGAAATCAGAGCGTGTTCTGCCAGCTTGAAGACCACGTTTCTAACTTTATTCTGTAGTGATTGGAATTCTGCAGTTTGTATTATGTTTTTCATTAGGCTTGTTTACGTCGACTTCGGTCAGGGGCAGCTTGAGAGCTAGTTAAACATTAAGTTGGCTTCTGTAAGCACGAGTTGGTGCCATCTGTTAAACTTTGTTTGGATTAATAAAAGGGTCTCTTACCCCCTTTCCCTGTGGTATTTATGAAACACAGTGAAAAGTCACTAGGTGTCTTTTAGAGGTCTGGTCAAATTGTATGTTTCCGAAGAAGACCAGCTCCTGTTCATCTATGCTTGATATCGATTTTGCATTTAATTTAATTTTAAAATTATGAAGAAGTTTTTTTTTCCTTTCATAGAGTTATATCTGCCGCAGCTAATCCAAATTCTCGTACAAATTATTTAGCATAATTCGTATGGCCTTTCTTCTCGAAGCCAGTATTTGAGCTATTGAAGCATTAGGTTCTAAAGCCGCTACTTTAGCAAGGACATAGGTCCTCTCAAAACTTGCCTAAGTAACCAACATGCGCTGTCATCCAGTTAAGTCTAATTTCCTGTATCTTAAGAAGGCTTGTGTATAGTTCTTTGACCAGCCGAAGCAAAATATTCGGCTGATCCCGGTTGGAGAGGGCTTGTAAAACAGACAGACAGTCAGAGTATCTAGTCATTTCCCTATTATAGTTACCTTTTTTTATACCCACTGCAGCGTTTTAAAAATTGCAGGAAGTTTTGCTTGAAAATTAAGAGTTTCAACTTTCCAATTTCAATTTAGTACATATGATAAAATCCAGTTAATTGGTAGAGAAATATAGCCTTTATTAGACGAAAGGGCGTTAGCCAAGAAGAGATTATATTTTCGTTTTGGCATTTTGCGTTGGCTCCCTATAAACGTCGGTTCACTTTTCAAATTGTTGCCACCAAATATTAGAGCCCTGTGTTACATTTGAAATTAAATAATGAAGAATCTGCATGAATGTATGCATGTTTCTCGCACTGTGAAAAATCAACGGTACGTAGAGACATTAAATTTTGAATATTGTAGTCTTCCACTCAAATATGGGCGATCAGGAGCCCAAATTTGGAATTTGTTTTCTTAATCTATTTCATATTTCGTTAAACTTTAACGAATTTTTAATTAACATATAAGGTATTTCTCCCGCCTTCTTAGCGAGCCTTTGTGGTGTAATGGTCTGCACGCTCAGCGCGTAATTGAGAGGTCCGCGGTTCGATTCCCGGCGAAAGCGTTGCATATTTTTCATCTTGCCTACTTCCAAAAAATACCTAATGTCTCTACAAACAAACTTAACGATTTCACATGGAGCAACGGCAACATTGTACGAAAAAAAAATTTTTTTTTTTTCATCTCCAGCGCGCGAGTGAAAATTCTAAAGATTATATTCATTTTAAAATTATTTTGCAATATTTCTGTTGAATTGAATTTTATGGTTTAAGTACGAAGAACGTGATATTTAATAAACAAAGGTTAAAAAGCGTTAAAAAAGCGTTAAAAAAGCGTTAAAAAACGTTAAAAAACAAACGTTTTAACAAAGCGTTAAGAAAAGGGCCCTTTGGGCGTAATATAAAACCTGAAAGCTTTCAGATTTTTTAAAAATTATATTTAATACTAGACTTTTTAAAATTAATATTGCAGTACACTGCATGGCGCTATGCTCCTTCAGCTCTAGATTACCAAAAGCAGTTTTGGTTGGCAAATTATACGTCATTCTGAAATAAAATTTAGCCATGATTGATGACAGTTTATTGTTTACCGTGTATCTTTCGCCGCAAGCTTTTATCTTAGAATGAAAAACTTAGATAAGCTGAAATAACTCAGAAAATGGACTTTCATTTATTTGCGGTAGATTAGTGTAGTTCAAGGCAAAAAAACAGTCACATAATCAACCGTGACATTTGAATGCAACTCAAAACAATAAAAAATGTGAGAAGGAATGTGACGTTAATTTGCTTTTACTTATCACTTCGGCAAGTGAATTCACAGCTGCGCATTTTATAATAATAAGTAATAATAATAAGTAATAATTAAACTGAACTAGGATGGAACCTTCGAAACGAAATGAACGCAGTGGTTCTAAAAGTAAGTTTATTTTTAATATTCTAGCTACCTTTGGCTTTAAGTTATGATCCATTGCACACTTTTACATAGCAAACAATCTTATTACTTCCTTGCACGAAGTACACGAAGAATTGTAATCGCGAAATATTTCGGGTATCATATTTAAAGGAAAATATCTATTTTGATCGCTCTTGAATCCATCTGAACTTTGTTTCTGCGTGATACCTGTACGTATGGACAGAATAAAGGATTCCTTTTCCCAAAAAGGCTTGTAAAAGGAATTTAAAATGGATTCAGAAGAGATTGTTTCGTGATGTTGGCAATTGTACCTTTTTTACTTTAAAACTGATTGAATTATGTTGTTCTTATGCTCCGGCTAAGGGTTTTATGCCTTTAGTTAATCTGCATGCAATAGCTGTAGAGTTATCAACAATTTAAAAGTTGTTAAGTACCACTAAGCCGAACGAAGCCGCCATTTGGTTACATTTGAAATCTTTAATAGAACAGTGAATTAAGTCAGTTTCTGCACCAAATTCAGTGCATTTTTGCAGAGTAGGATAATAAGTAAACTTTAGGTTTTGTACACCGAAAATCTTGCCCGCTGACCGAATTGCTTGTTTTTGCGTAGAAAGTCTAATTTTAATTGTAAAAACTGTTTTTTAACTGTTTTTAACTGTATTTAGTGTTGTATGTTCTTCTGTACTTTACAATTTTTAATATAGATGTTTTGAGTTTTAATGCGTTTTTGCCTTGCCGCGAAATGAGAATTGAATTGATTGAATGAGAAATATATCTATAATTAAATTGGAGGAGAGAAGGTTAGATGAAATGCAGTAAAAAATATGTATAATTTAATAGGCCGTTTAAGCAAATCGTGTGGTGTCCACAACAGATTTTTTTAATACATAGTACTATCACCTGTCACTTAATAATGAAACCTGATCTCGTATTTTCATATCATGAGTCCAACTTCTTTACGATATTTATGAAGTTGCTGGTAATTTACAACCTTTTTTACACATATTTTTTAATTAAAATACTTACCAAACTTTTCGTGAGGAGAGAGAGAATGTAAGGAATTATTGCACATCCAATAAGTAATTACACAAAAACGGGAGAAAAACTTGTAACTAATAGTATTATTAATAATAGTTAACATAGTTAGTAGCGCAGATCTTCAAAATCTTCCGTAAGAAACTATAAAATAATAGGACAAAAATACCGCTTTCTGAAATTTAGCTATAATTTTTTTTCTTAATGTTTTTATTCGTTACATGTGGAAACAGAGAAAGTTTAAGTGAGAAATAATTGGAGTGCGAAGGCTTCACGGGTTTCGGAGATCACACTGAAACCTCAACATGTATTATCTAACTGTTAAAATCTTTTCGAACTTGAGAATAACTGTGTAAAGGAAATTTTAATTACTGGAATTTATTTTACTTTTATATTTCCGGCTTTAGTCTATATCAGAAATTCGAAGAAAAAGTTCACACTCAATTGAGTGAGTACGGAAATCTAAATAACAAGGTGCATAAAACATGATAATAGCGTCATTTGACAACTTTTTTGATATGTGAAAAATGCGTTAAGTTTTTTGCGTTACGTCTGTAGGGTGTACGTAAGGACAGAATAAAAGACTCGTTTTCCAAAAGGGACTATAAAATAGATTTAAAATGGGTTCAAATGGGAATTTTACGTGACGTCTTCGAATGGAATTTTTAGAGACGTACGTATGTATGTACATATCTTGCATAACTCAAAAACGATTAGCCGTAGAACGTAAATTTTGTTCATAAGACTGATGTAACATCTAGTTGTGCAGCTCCCTTTTTCAATGCAATCTTTAAATCTTCAGGCTAAAGTTATAATATCATTTTTTCATAGCGAGTATATAACTTTCCCAAATATAAATACAGGAATTGGGACATCGCATTTAAATTTAGATTTCATTATTTGTCGAAAATTAATTTTTCTTTAAATTTAACATAAAGAAGTCATGAATATTTTCATTTAAAATATTTCCGTAATTTGAAAAGTATATTACTACTATATTTGAAGTATATGATTACGATTAACCGTAGAATGTTGAAGTTTTGTGTATGGGATTGCTGTAACCTCTAGATGTGCACGTCCCTATATATACATATAGACTTAAAGATTCTAAAGTTAAAGGTAAATTGGAGTCAAAGCAAGGTTAATCCTCAACAATATTAATATTAGCAATCGTGTACAAGAGGTTTAACACAAAAACAAACATATCAAAATTAAAATAAGAAATCATAGTAGTACTAAAAACTCTAAAAATAAAAATTAAAATGCAAAAGGGAAAAGATATACAAGAAAAAATCTGACAGGTTTCAGATTTTAAATTACGTCCAAAGGAGCTTTTTTAAACATTTTCACACCATCCTTCCGCCATTTCAGCACCTGAAGGCGTGACAGTAGCATGCGACATCTGAGATACGCTCTTTCTAACATTATTGCTTTCCCATTACTGCTTCATGACATCTCTAGCTTTTGAAATGACTGGCTCTACGATTTATATATGCGTAAGGCTCATCCCTCGCTTATCACGAGAAATTTCTTTCTCAGTTAAGAACTATTTAATGATATTCCAGGAAAGTTATGCTTTTTCACACATCGCTACACACAGGATGTGGCTTTCCCAGCCTAGGAGCCTGTTGAACGTGCCCCGCACCTGAGCCTTCAACAGCAATATCGCAAAATACTTTTAGAATGAGCATATCTTTAGAATTTCCGATACAGAGACTCGCGCGCTGGAGATAAAAATGTTTTTTTCTGCATAACGTTGCCATTGCTCGCTTTGAAATCCTTGAGTTTGTTAACCAAAAATTCGTTAACGTTTTATAAAATATGAAATGGATAATAAAACAAATTCAAAATTTCAAATTTAGTCTTCCACATGCCCATATTCGTAGGAGGATTATGTCATTCAAAATTCGATGGCCCTATATACCGTTGTTTTATCACAATACGAGAAGTATACATACATTTACGCAGATTTTTCATGATTTAATTTCTTCAAATAAAATGCAAGATTCTAACATTTGGTGGCAACAGTTTGAAAAGTGAAACGGGCCAACGCAAAATAGTGAACCAACGCAAAATCGCAAAACGAAAACAATTTTCCTTGAGGGACAAAGCCCCTTTGCACTAATAATAAAAATATAGTAATTAATCTCCTTTTACTAAAACTCCAATTCAGAACTCATCAGGCGAATATTCATTAAAGTTTCACAAAAGTCGATTAATATGTTTCGAAAACGTGTTCTCCTGGTTCATTTCAGACCAAAAAACCGAAAAAAAGATCACAAAGCGTTACATTATATACAAAGACCATTCAAAAAAATTACATTGATCTAAAATCATTATATGCGAATCCGAAATTCAAAAGTAAATAAATATAAAGAGTAAAACAAATGTACTTTAAACCAATTTGTCATTTAAACAACACTAAAAAAATGTGTGGTCCCCGATTATGCTAAACTAAACTTTTAATGCCAAGAAAACGAAAAACGTTTCACAAAATTCTTTAAATAATAAAATCAAATTTGAGCTTTATCACCTAAAAACAGAAAACCAATTGGGGGGGACCGCAAATTTACTGAAATCTTAGGATGACTTTCTAAACGAAAATTTACTTAATTATGACAGACTGTGTTCTTTGTAGAATTCAAAGCTGTTCTGTAGATGCAAGCAATTGTAGTTCTTGGAAAAAAGATTGTGATAAGGTCCAAAGTGTCCAATAGCAGAACTAAGTGTTTAGACATGTGTTTAAAAGGTTCTATCCTGTTAAACCTGTGTGCGGGGGTGCCAAATGTTGGGTGCGGTCTGTAAAATTTATATCTTCGAGTAGGATGATCGTCGACTCCAAAATGGCGGCTCAAGAAACTTCTAGTAGATGCTGTCTTCCATAAAATCTTAAAACGCGAAAGCAGTACTGGTTCAAAGTTGAGGAAAAGGGAAAATATATATTATAAAAAGATAAAAGTCTTCACGTAATCAGGGTACGATACGTCTTAGAAACTAAAAAACCCCATTTTTAGTGACTATATATATATATATGTTTGGTACTGCTAATATACTGTATAGTAACTGTTCATTACGATAAGAAGGGGAGGTACACAACTAGAGGTTGTAGCAATCCCATACACAAAGTGTCAAGTTTCTACGATTAATCGGTTTTGAGTTATGCGAGATACATACGTATGTTCACGTACGTACTGACGTCGCAAAAATTCCCTTTTGAATCTATTTGCAATGTGTTTTGGAAAAAAGAGGCATTTATTCCAATGCGTAGAGAAGTCATGCAAAAAAATCGTTGAAGTGGATTCCAGAATGGTCAAGATAGATATTTCCGTTGAAATGGGAAATGTTTCGCAATTAAAATGTACGAAGTATGAAGAGAAAGAAGTGTAAATATTGAAAGTAGCCGAACTTCCTTCATTTGTGGATAGTAAAATAGCTTTCAACGCAAGTTAAATTTGAATCCAGTTTAGAATGCAAGATTAACATAGCCTAGTCCAAGTTCTTCTGCTTAATTGCTCTGGGTAAGGAAAAAAAAATCGCATCAAACAGAAATTTTGCTGACAAGTTAATTTGCAACACAGAAAACCTAATGTAGAGAAGAAAGAAACTACTCGATAACTTACTCGAAGAAATGCTCTCTGATAACTTTAAGACAAATGCTTTACATTAATTTCCGTTCTAGTGGAGTTTGGCGAAAGTAATAGGAAAGCTAAAAGAATAAGATGGCTGGTAAATTAAAATAAATCTACAAATCTACCAGTCGCTCTGGTTTTTACCTTACAAATCCCTGTGATAAGTTAAAAATGTTTTAAAATGATTGTAGATGTCAGATTTCGTAACAAAGAAAAGAAAAATAACGGTTTAAAAGTTTTAAGATGATTGAAGATATTAAAGTTTCTTGCAGAAGACAAAAACATTGCAGTAGACTGTATAACAGAACGTAAATACTGAAGACTATCACAATGTCCTCAGATAAATTCGCTCATGGATTTCCAAATTGAAAACGATTTTCAATGTTTTTCACTTATGCAGATTAATTAATAATAATTATATTAACTCGTTGGTCAACTGATATTCATTATTATAAAATCGTTATATAATATTTTTTTTTTCAGACGGTCAACCAGAAACCATGCACAAGACTTCAGCTTATGTCCGAACAGTGGTGGCTGTGCATAACCTCAGAGACCGAGCCAAAGGGGCTGTGGAAGCACTGCAGGAAAAAGGACTTTCAGAACGAATTGAAGAAGGTTGGGGAAACACTCGAAGAGCTGTTTCGACATCTACAAGAAACTTCTTCTCACACCCAGAAACTGTTCACTGTAGTTACATTCCTCCTGCTTACAGCTATATATTCCGACCAAAGAGTCGTTGGGAACTGGTACTCTTAAGTGGAACAGTTTGTGGAATTGAATTCTGTTACGCAGCTGAAACAGCATTCGTGACTCCAATTCTTCTTAGCTTGGGATTGAGCATCAAATTTGTAACGATGATCTGGTGTTTAAGTCCTTTGATAGGATTCTTTCTTAATCCAATCCTGGGTTCCTTAAGTGACACTTGCGAGTCTAGATTTGGGCGCAGGAGGCCTTTTATTTTTTTATTTTCTGTTGGTATTTTGCTAGGTCTCATTTTTGTACCAAACGGACACCACATAGGTATTGCTTTAGGAGATATTAGTAACACTCAAACAGAACAAAACGACGCCAAAGTTTCAGTGAAGGTAAAAGAAATGAACGCTACAACGAACAGTTCACTTGTAAAATATATGGCGCTTGAACTAGCTACAGAAAAAATTCCACTTATAGACTACAATGTAACCAGTGCAAGAAATGGAGACAGAATACTTATCCAAAATCATAAAAAATTCAAAAGGCAAATTTACGTTTTGGAAAGCGACCATAAACATCAGGATTTCCTGGATTTATATTTGTCTCCAATTAAAAACAAGATGGAAACGTTTAGCATGGAGGACATACCTAATCAACGATTCAGGAGGCATACTTTTGAGAGATATGCAAACGTCACAAACGCCTTAAAATTTGCAAACAAATCTGTAAGTCATCTTCAGCCATGGAGTATAACTTTTACAGTAATCGGGACAGTTTTACTCGATTTCTGCTCGGATGCTTGCCAGTCTCCATCTAGAACATACCTCCTTGATGTTTCACTTCCTGAAGATCATGCAGCCGGGTTGAGTACTTTTACTTTAATGGCTGGCTTAGGTGGATCCATCGGTTACCTAATGGGTGCCGTGCACTGGGAGTCTACATTCTTGGGGCATATGTTGGGAGGACAAGTGAATGCTGTGTTTGCTATTGTTACAGTTATCTTCATTATCTGCCTGATAGCAACAGTGTGTAGCTTCCCAGAAATACCCTTGCCCCTTCTGAAAGACCCTAAAGTGTTGAAAGAATACCAGGAGAAGCTGCAAATCGGAAAATATCAAGAATCCGGGAATGAAATGATAGTTTTAGAAAGCAAGCCAGTCGAGTACGGTTCAACAGGTCACTTTAGCTCTCCGGAGGCTCTGCCAGAAAAAGAAAATGCAAATAATTTAAATTTAGCTGAAGCGTTCAGAGATTCCCCAGCGGCCAATATGAATTCGGAGGTTCCAAAACGTAAGTAAATTATTTTTATATAATTAAGTATTTTTCTTGAAAAATATAAAAATTCTTCAAAACTGTTTGAAACATTTTATAATAAATCATTTTTAGTAATACTCATTTATAATGGCGACTCATGCAGTTCAAAACAAAGAATTAAAAAACTATATTTTAAACAAAACTTAAATAAATACCTCCCACTAGGATCTGCCTATTAAATAGGCAATAAATTATAAAATTAAGCAGCTCAATTAAAACTGTATGGCGTAATTTTTATCAATAAGCTCAAGCAACAGTAAAACCTCTCATCGCAATTACTTACCTTAAATGACCACTTCTCAAAGTGATTAGTATTTTTTAGAACATTATTAAACTCTGTCGTTCAGCATCATATCTCTATGGTAATAAGAAATTATTAAATTTTACTCGTGCGTTATCATGCCTAGATAGCAAACGAAAAATACGTGATTCAAATCTCGAGGGCACAATGGATTTTTCAAGTTTCTTGAACAACTTCGAAAGTCCTAATAGTCTCTAGAGTAAAGCCCGACTTAAATAAATAAATGAAACGGGAAAATTGAAAGCTTTCAGAATTTATATTACGCCAAATAAGGCTTTTTTTTTTCATTTACACATACATACACGTTTCGAGAGCATTTAAGATAAAAATATCGAAAAACAGCATGCCTTTAAAATTTCGATAAACACTCTCACGCACTGGAGATGAAAATGCTTTATTTCGTAGAGGCACCTCTAGCTTTGAAGTATTTTGAGTTTCTTAATCACAAGTTCGTTAAAGTTTAAAAAATGTGAAACAGATAACAAAACAAACTAAAAATTAAAAATTCGTACTTCCATGTGCCCGTAATTCTGGTGCAGAACTATGCTGTTCAAAATCTGATGGCTCTAGGTATCGTCTATTTTTCACAATGCAAGAAACGACTACATTTATGCAGATTCTGCATTACTTACTTTCTTTCATAACGGGCGATAATATTTGGTGGCAACAATTTGAAAAGTAATACAGCTGTTTATAGTGGTTCGACGCAAAATGTGGTTTCAAGACTAATAGCCCTTCTGGGCTAACGCTCCTCTGGCCTAAAAAAAAGGTGGGTGCTCTGTAATTCATCAACACTTGGATTTAGTCCACTGGGTCATCGGCTTCTCACACCAGTTTCCCTTTACATGAGACTTATAGCGCTATTTTTCAGACAGACATAGGAAGTCCCCAAATTAAATAAAAAAATAAAAGAAGTTATATCCAATTAAAATCAGTTTGCTTTTATATTTTTTATCTTATATATATATATATATATACGTTTAATGATGTCGATTGCAATAAAAAGAGGAGATGCACAACTCAATGTTATAGCAGCCCCGTATATGAATTTCAACGTTCTACGGGTAATCGTTTTCGACTTATGCGGGATACTTACATACATACGTAAGTTTCGTGACGTGTGTATATATATGTAAGTACGAACGTACATACACATGTCACGAATAAAAATCTTTTGAATCCATTTCAAATCGATTTTACAACCCCTTTTGGAAAACAGAGTCCTTTAATCTGTCGGTACGTACAGACATCAACCAAAAAAAATATCGTCCAAATGGATTTGGGAAAGATCAAAATGGATATTCCTGTTGAAATACGATACCTGAAATTTATCACGATTGCAACACTTCCTTTACTTCATATAAGGAAGAAGAAAGGAAAAAAAAAATTCTAATTTGCTGAATTCGTTCGTAGCAAAGTTTTAAAAGGCCAAACTTCAAATTAAACTGTACGATACCATGATATGTTTAAATACTAACAATTCTGAATGATATTTTCAAAATTTATCTAGAACAATCTACAGAAGTTAAGGGTATATGAATGTTTTAGTGTATTAATCGTTTTTTATCATACCTATGTAGTTTGCAGTGATTATTCATCGCTGGACACATCGTTATGAATTTTTCAATTGAAATTCTTATTCATTTTCAGTTAACATGAAATTTAAGTAGGTTCCTCGGAGTACTAAAGTTTTTCGGTTATAAGAGCTGCTTAAAATGTTATTTTTAGTCCAAAGGGGCAATTTGCCCAGAAAAAGTCCGATTTTATGTCAAAATACCTATGTTAGAACAACGCTATATATAAATCTAATATATAGTCTAAGTCGTGCTTTCGAGATATGAAAAATGCAAGTTAAATTTCGTCAACCGGCATGCACATTAGGTGCGCATGAAAGTAAAGAAGTTATCACTTCTAGCGACAGACCCTGTTAGACGGAACTTTTCTGAGAAACGAGATTCTGGTAGCACTGGTTTAAACGGGAGGATTCCTAGAAAAAAGAGCCCCGCTGGAAGCGAAATCCCGCCTAGCTACGGAAACGATGTTACGGCTACGCGAGATTTTTTCAAACCTCACCGAAAATGTCTCCCTGGAGCTCTGTTCCAGGTAAAGTCAACCAATCATATGAAAGTTCTGCTTCTGAAGGATCACGTGATCCCAATCTGAGGGATAATCGATTACTGTTTGGAGTTCAAGGTCTCTGTAGCAAGTGAAAATGGTAACCTAGCTACGTGGGTTTCATGGAAATGAGCGGGTTCTGAGAATTGTTCCTTTCGACGTTCAGTCACGCGTAGCCGAAACATAATGTGATTGGGATCGCAAGACAGTTTTCCGAAGTCTTCTCTTAGATGGACAGCTCTTGTGTCTTTGCTATATACGAATAATCTAACCTAACCTTAACAATTGAGTTCTGACTTAATGACAGTGGAAGGACTAAATATATCATCATCATCATCAACATCATCAATATTGCCGGCATATTGCTGTTTTTACGCAACGTTTCCGGCTCATAGCACATAGGCCCGAAGGGCGCATGACGGTAGTTGGCAATGACGATTGAAAGGAGGCATCAGTAATGTGAAGAGGGGGGTGACAGCATGACATCACAAGTTTAGAGAAACACGCAGACGAAGCCCAGGACCAGGAGAGGCGAAGACAGGGTGAAAATCAGACTTGTTCTGTTGTTCATGATAGGTATATGTCATAATAAAGTATACAAATAAGATTATACAATATTATTTATTAGAATAATATAAATACATGCAAATAAAATCGAAAATGAGTACATAAATAATATACGGCAAAATAAGTCTATATACATATTTACAGCGACGTTGCACTCGTGATAAAGTTACGTAGGGAAGTTCGAGTCTCGACTAAATATACCTTTTTAATTCTGTCGTTATGATTTTAAACTTGTAAGATTAGTAGTGGTTGTTTTGACCAACATTTTTTTGGGTTTAAAGACCTTATTTGGCTTTTTTACTCCATTTAAGAAAGAAACAAGCGTTTTATCTATTCCCAAAGATCATTGCTTCAAATAATAGGCATAGCAAACGAAATTAATTCGTAAACGCTGCAAATTAGCAACAAAAAAATTTTGAAATACGCTAAAACTATGATAACAGAAGGTATAAAGATATATTACAAGAATGGTAAAGCTGAGATACTAGCATACGTGAATTCACAGTAACCAAGTATTACATAAATTTCTAGCAAAACCTTTGGCATTGTCCTAACAGGCGATATATCTTACTTAACTGTATAGTTACTTTACCGATCAATAGATGGCGCCACTAAAATTTGTATAAAATAATTTTTGTAATATTTTATTTAATTATTTAAAATATATATTTAAATAATATATAATTATTAAAAAATATATAAATAATATATAAAATAAAATAAAATTTTAATTAAATAATAAATTTAATAAAATAAAATTTAATTTCATAATTTAATGAAAATTAAATGTAAACAATAAATAATCAATTACTTTTTATTTTATCAATGATTAATTGAACAGTTGATTTTTCGGTGGCTATCGCAAGATCAAATTTCCTAGTTTTCATTTTAAACATGCGATAAAATGGCAGGAAAAAAAACGAGAGTAAAAAATGAGAGATAAATTAAATTCTGTTGCCGCTTAAGATAACAGTTTCTTTGATCTGCTTCTTATTTCAACTCTTTGTGACGTAAACTTGAAATTTTTTAGAGTAAATTGATAAGAAACATTCGCAAATTCAACGGAAAAATTGCCCGTGAAAGCAACATTGCTTTTACAAACAAAATGTTCTGAGAAAGAATATCTTTTTTATAAAACTAACAAAATTAGGTAGATCGCCAGTTCGGACAATACCAAACCTTTGATGAGTAAAGTAATATAAAAAGGTATGAATCGTCTTTGAGCTACAAATAAAATTGTATAGTATGTACGTTTTTTTTTAATTCTTAAATTTACCTGATGATAAATTCTTTTTGTATTGTTTCAGCTTCAACACAAGACGTTGTCGCGATTGATGAAATTTTATCTCCAGGTGAAGAACCAACTTTAAAAGAGTATTTAAAATCAATTGTTATCATGCCTTCTTCATTGAAAATCCTCTGTTTGACAAATCTCTTTTGCTGGATGTCTTTGGTTTGTTACTCCTTATACTTTACAGACTTTGTAGGCGAGTGTGTGTACGGGGGTGATCCACAAGCTCCGGAAGGTTCTGAAAGCCACAGAATTTATGAAGATGGCGTCCGATTTGCGTGTTGGGGTATGGCCCTATATTCTTTATCTTGTTCGGCGTATTCCTATTTCATTGAAGCTTTAGTTCAAAAATTTGGTAAGTATTTTCTTTTCTCTTAACCCATTCATTCTGTTATTCCGTAGTAAAATATATGAATAGTAAACTATTTCGTACTGCAGCAAAATCGACATGATTATAAAGAATATGGAAATCTGAAAGCTTTTAGATTTTATATATATATATTATATATTTCCATTTACAGACACATGCGCATTTCGAGAGCATTTAGGCTAACGCCACGTTGGGTTAAAAATATTTAAAAACAACATATCTTTAGAATTTCCGACAGACAGTCTCGCGCGCTGGAGATAAAATTGTTTTATTCCCTACAGGGTTGCAACTGCTCGCTTTGAAGTCGTTGAGTTTTTTTAATCAAAAATTCGTTAAAGTTTTACAACATATGAACTAAATCTTTAACTTAAGAACTTTAATCTTAAGAACTGAAATTTGTACTTTCGGATTTTAAATTTAAAGAACTAGCATATACACCACAACCAAAGAGCACATGATTTGTGAATAAAAATAATTTCATAAAATTTTCATAAAGGAACTAAAAGTAAAGAGAAGCTATTTTAACATATCTAGCAGAGTTACAGAACCCTGATGTTAAAAATTAGAACAATAATAATAAAAAAAATGTAAAGACCAATGCTATTTTTAAACAAAATTAGTTTTAAACAGTTAAAAAAATTCAAAGCGCAGAAAATCATGGGGTAAGCTCGACCATGTATCAACTTCAGCGCCCCAGACCGAATATTCATGGTCGGCAGCTAATGCTTTGCATCTGGTGGGATCAACTCGAGTGATGTATTAAGAGCTACTCCAGCCTTTTCAAAACCATCACTGGGGGATGTTACAAACAACAGTTGATGCTACTGAGCCGAGCATTGAAGATCAAACGCCCCCAGTATGCCAAAAGACATGACAAAGTGATCTTTCAATATGTCAACGCTCGTCCACATGCTGCCAAGGAAACTTTAGAGACGCTTGAGTGGGATAATCTACCCCACCCGCCGTATTCACCACACATTGCTCCTTCCGATTTTCACTTGTTCCGGTCGATGACTCATGACTCGGCCGAGCAGCACTTCACTTCATACGAAGAAGCCAAAAATTAGGTCGGGTCTTGGATCGCCTCAAAAGACGAGGAATTTTTTAAACGAGGATTTCGAATGCTACCTGAAAGATGGGAAGAAGTCGTAACTAACGATGGACATTGCTTTGAATAAAATTTATTCCTCCAATTTCTCTGAATAAAGCTTCAAAGTTACAAAAAAAAAAAAACTTATTTGTACACCCAACAATAACTATATCCTTTTCTGAAAAACACTCACTTAACATTACTACATCTCCTATGCTCCTAGAAAAGGAACCTAAAAGTATCTAACGAAGGATAGAGAGTAAATAGAAGAAAACTTTTACTAGGTACTGAATATTCTAGAGGGGAACCTTTAAAGAACAGAAACCATAAACAATAATAGAAATAGTAAACGGCTTTCCGATAAAGAATTTATAACTTTATAGCTGCAAAATCCTAGATCTTTGCTTCTTTTTTTATAGTACAGCAAGTTACTGTCGACTTTACTTTGACAGTAGACCTTTAGTTAAATGATTTCGCTTACTTAGTTTTAATGGCCTTGATCTGAAATTTAATAACTTATGGTTTGCCTTAAGAGTATCAAATTTTCTTTGTATAAAATTTTATTGCAGCGGAATTCAATTGCGCATGTCTGACATATATATATGCCTAGTACTATGAATTATTTTTATGAGATGCACTTACTTCCTGTGATGTGTGTAATGCACTTTCACATATTACAGGAGCAAAACCCGTCTACATTGGTGGGCAGTTGGTGTATTCTATTGGCATGGTTGTTATGGCTATAACAAGACATCCAGCAGCAGTCATACTTCTGTCCCCAACTGCTGGTGTCATGTATTCGACTCTGTTTACAATGCCCTACTTGTTGATTGCCCATTACCACTGCACTAGGAAGGTAAGTTCTACCAAAATGCAATTATACGTTTATATTGTATATTGACCAATCTTTGAAACCTCGTTAGGGTAGATACTGGAAGCAAATGTATAAAGAACGCTGACAGAATTTTTTTCTCTAACTCAAGCCAAACAATCTTCTTGTGAGTTAATGGCCCAGTAGATCAAAATATTTTTCTTTGCTATTGATAGACGCTGACTTAGGCTTGGCCACTACTAAGTAGTGAAAGGACCATAGGAAGTTGTTGTGGAAGAACCTCCTGTAGAGAAATGGACAATCACAGCCATGACTTGTCCGAGATTCGAACCCTGGCCCTTCGGTATCGCAATAGGCTCCCATAACCACTATACCGTTTGGGCGGATAGAATCAAAATAAGTGGGATATTGAATTATAAAGGGCAGGCGAATACTTTTCAACTAATATGCTTATGCATAATAATATTAAGGCAGTGTGTTTCCAACTCTGATTTCCTTCCGTTCTTGAATTAAATCAATCGTATTAACATAAACTAAGTATAGTTTTAAAAACATGTTAAGGAATATTTATAAGACTAACTTATGTTGTTGTTGTACAATATCCTCTTTGTTTGAAATGATATAGATATCAATGGGACCAAATAACTGAATTTTTCTCTATCCCTTAGTTTAAAGATGACCGAACGGGCAGCGATTGTGGCGTGCGAGGTATCGGAACTGATGTTGCCACTGTCAGCAGTATGGTTTTCCTTTCCCAGTTCATCCTCTCTTTGTCCATGGGAAGTATCGTTGAAGCTGTAGGATCGAATGTGGCCACAGTGTGTGCAGCGGCTTTTCTCAGTGCATGTGGAGCTGTTTCTGCTACCCAAGTCATGTACCTCGATATTTAGAAACACTTGGTGTTCACGTTTTGAGACTTCCGCGTGAAATTAAATGAGGACTCCATCTTTCATATGAATATAAATTATATTATGTCTTACATTATCCTACCATTTTACCTTCAGACATATGACGTTCAGAAAAATGAAGAATTATTTTACTGTGTTTTAATATAATTGTTGAAATCTTTAGATTCTATGACGAATGTCGTGTATTGTGGATATTCTCGCCCCAATTTTTTGTCATTTTGAAGTGAAATGCTCCTCCGCTCGACCCTCTTAATGTAGCCAACAGTTGCGGTATACGACCTTGAATAAGCTATATAAGCTTCGTTATTCTGTGAAAAACTCGTTTCGTTTCGTTGCTTTGGGATATTTCCTGTTAGTTTCTTTGCCGATTTAAATCTTTTTCTCATTTTATAGGATGTTCGCAGGTCTAGCGTTAGAGAAGATGACTGGAGCGACTGGAACAAGTCGCGTAGCTGTGTTAATGTAGCATCTAACATTCTTTCCTATTTTGAATGTCTTCATTGTAATAAACGTAAAATCTTGTAAAAGCCTTTTCACTATGGATGTTTGTAACGTGTTGCATTCCATGTATATAATTTGTTTTTACAGATGTCATGAAAATGCCGAATAGTAATGCTACAGTAGCTTATATCTCTCTTCTGTGATTTTATCTTCTCTGTTACCAGTAGGATTTTTATTGCGTTTTTAAAGTGTAATTATTAAAGTACTGTTTTTAACAGCTGTGAAATACGGAGGAACGTTTTTTAATTCATCAATAATTTATTAACTCTTACTTAGATGTTATTTGCATTCAAATGAAATCGCTCAAATTTCTTATGTTAAGGAAATTAATGATACAAAAAAAGGAACTCCTGCATAAATTTCTAACATATATTAAATCTGCACCAAACATTATGCCAAAATTTGATGCATTTGTTTCCGTTTCTTCAGTTTTGTTCTCAATGACGCTCGAAAAGGAAGGCTCAGTTAATATGGCATGGTATTAAAAAATAATCTCTTTCAATCATAATCATAAGAATTTTTCCAGCTTTGTTCACAGAGAAAGAATATTTCTTTCAGCGAGTATAGTATTTATTTTATGACCAGTGAATCACAAGGTAAAAATTTATTTTTAATTCTCCTCGTAAAAAAGGGTGATTACCTTGGTGCGCATCACCAGATCTGATCTTTGTTTTTAGTTAATCATTCTCTGGTAATTTAAGATTTATTTTCAGGTAACATTTTTCACAAATAACAAAAATTATTAAAACTTTTCCTTTTTTTTAATAGATAAAAAGAACTTTACGCGTACAAAAACAGACTTCAGGCAACATCAGTACTATTGAATAAAAATATCACTTATAATATATGCATAGGTGTCTTCTACTTTTATTTTCCTGAAATTTTCCTAACCATACTCTTTTTTATGTCTTGCACACGAGACACACCTATAAAGAAATTTTAAGAAAATTAATAGTTTATATTGAAGTGTATTTACTAAAAAATTAACTATTAAGAGGGAAAATTGATGTTAAAAGGAATTTTATGATTGTCATTTTAGCTAAACATGTTTAATGTTTGTATTTTCAGGGTGAGCCAAAAGTTCTTTAAAATTTTAAAAATTCACAAAATGGAAAACGTTATGATAAAGAAGCGCAATTTGCAAGAAAAGACTCACAAGGAAGTCGGATTTTTTTTAGCAGCAAAAATATTTTAGCTAAAAATGTCACTGGTAGAGGGCGCTGACATGCGAGAGATTCAGCAGAATTATGCAAATTAATCTTGCAATAAAAGCCGTGAAACACGAAGATTTCTCATTCGCTTTCAGAATGTTATCATTACGCGACCGAGCGTTGTTGGCAAAGTTAATCTATTTGAACGGAGAGTCAGCAACTGTTGAGTTGCGAAAATTTCGCACTGCGAAACACAAAGAATGGCCCCATACCGTGTTCTGTTATACTGAAGCTTGTCAAACGGTTCGAAGAAACTCGCTCTTTGGAGGATCGGCCGCGAAGTGGAAGACCCTCGTTGACGAAGGGCCGAATTACTGCCATGGAAACTACTATGATTGATATAGCCGAGGAATCATCCATGGAGATCAGCAGTCAAAAAATAGAGGTATGGCTTGGAGGCTTATCCTGATGGAACTTGTTTGGATAAAGGGATGGAGAGTAGCAGCGCCCGCATAGCTGTAAGGATACTGGATCTGCCCAGCTCATCGTTTCGACGTATCCAATATGGGATATTGCATCCCTATCCCTATTAATTGCAATCACTGCACGAGTTAGTTACAACTGGAAGACACAGCTATGATCCATTTGCCGAGTGGGCTATGGCAAAAATTGAAAGCGACACTCAGTGATTGTTCAACGTTTTCTGGGTGGATGAGGCGCACTCCACACTACACGAGGATGTCAAAACCCAGAACATTCGTATATGGGTGACGTAAAATCCTCGTGAATACACGACGAAGTCATTGCATCCAGCCAAGTTGACAGTCTGGTGTGGCTTCTCCTCGTCTTTCATTGTCAGACCGTTCTTCTTTGAAGAATCTGGCTGGGAAACGTGCACAGTAACCACTGATCTCAATCTTTTGCGTGACAAAGTCGTGCCCGTATTCAATCGACGAGGTGTGTTATTTGTAACAAGCTTTATGCACGATGGCGCACCGCCATACTATGCAAATCCAGTAAAACGATTCCTATTGAGTACCTTTGGTGAAGATAGTGATCAGTAGAGGTGGCAAGATCACATGGCCTTCATAATCACCCGACCTCACTCCGGTTGACTTCTGGTTGTTGGGCTATTTGAAATCACTTGTGTACCGTTCATTTCCTTAAACATCGGCTGAACTCAAAGATTCTATCTTTCAAAGGTTTTCGTAATTCATTCCGGCATGTTACATTAAGCTGTAACAGGCTTGTGAATCACCTTGGTTGCGCCATACAATGTTCTGGAGGTCATGTTCAACAATTGCTATTGAAAGAATAAATGAATGGAGCGCTCCATTTGCGTCCTGTTCATTGTGTTTCGGGTCACTGAACAGTACGCTCATTGAACAGTGCGCTCCATTCATTTATTCTTTCAATAGCAATTGTTGAACATGACATTCAGAACATTGTAAATGGAGCGCCTGTTCATTGTGTTTCGGGTCATCAGCGCCTTCTACCGGGAATATTTGAAACTAAAACTATTTATTGCTGCTAAAAAAATACGACTTCTCTGCGAGCCCTTTCTTGCAAACCGCCCTTCTTTATCATAGTTTCTTCTTTTTTATAAATTTTTAAAGTTATAACGAACTTTTGGCTCACCCGGTATATGTATATATGTTACATTTTACTTTTGTAAAGATTTGCTTTGAATTTTATAAAAGCAAACTTTATGTAAGAATATGTGAAATTGTATAGCAAGAAATAATTAAAATTTATATTTATCTGCTTTATTAAACACATACAAAAGAATTAGAGAGTTTTTTATTTCCGAAAAGCCATAATAGGCAAATAAGAAAAATACGCATAGTAATTGACAAATTAAAGTTTTGATAGATTTGGAGCTCAGTTCAACAAAATACGTGCTTCGTGCAATTTAATACAACTGGCTTTATTAAAAATAACTTTAGCTTAGTTAATAAAAATTGAATTTACTGAAAAACGGGTTTAACCAATTTAATAAAAATCAGGCTTCTTTTCTCAAAATTAGTGCGAAATACTGATTGAGTTTCGTCAATTATAAAAATTCGAATCGATTTGTTTTTGTCTTATTATAGAAACTAATGACACATAATATTTCTTTCATAATATGAAATTTATAAAATTATTGCAGATACGATATCTCCGTACGTAATTTACACAAAATTGCTCGGCTTTAAATAATACCAAAGGATTCAGGCCTTTTGCATTTTAGGTTGTACATTTATTTAAAAAATTATAGCATTCTAATTATATTTATTCTGAAATTTTTCCTGCTATGTATATAGGTGTGCGTGTATGTATGTTAGTATTATTTTTGCAATTATACATTGCAATTATAATATATTGCAATTATGTTTTGGTTTAAAACTGCTTTGTAAAAACTAACTCCACGAGCTTCTGAAAATATGCTGTAGGCTATATATGCCATACGTTCTTGCAAACATTCCGCAATTTGGTTGCATTACAAAGTTCTGTGTTCGACAGAGCGTTGCCTGACATCCTATCCTAAATGCAGTGTTCTATGAAGTTCAAATCTAAAAAGAAATGTAAACTCCAAACTCAAATGAGTACTCCTACTATAACCAGAATGTTGCGATCCGATTCTTGTGTGGAGGTGATTGTCCAGTTGGAACAGCCACGGCACGTATTACCTCCCTGACGCTTGTAAATGTACCAGAGATACTATTCCAAAGAAACAAACATGTACCATTATGGGCACTCACCACTTGGCACAGTTCTCTGCCGACAAGCGGGATCCATGGTTTGATAGCGGTCGCATCAAGCACTAATCCATCTACAGTGAAACTTCAGTTTACGAATTTAATTCGTTCCTAAGTGCCATTAGTCATCCATAATGTTCGTAAATCGGAACTATTTTCCCCACAGGATTTAATGTAAAATAAATGAATCCGTTTCTGGAACCTCTAGTGATTGCTTATTTAAATTTAACAACAGTATTTTGTGCACAAATTCATAGCACGAAAACAAATGAAAATCATTAAATCTAAGAAAGCAAAGAGTAATCACAATATTAAAGAGATTAAATGGACGAAAACCGTCATTTAATTTTACCCTTACGAAGGGAAATTGGACGGCTTAGGTAGAAAGAAATGACGAAGAGAAGAGGAAGAGATATTATTATTTTAATGAAAAGTCTCCTTCCATAAAAACATAGTTAATTTCTTTCTGAAGCATCTTCTTTTATTCTTTCGTTGTCTCTTAGTGCTTGAGAGTTACTGAATTCCCATTAACTCAAAGTTTGCCTAATGTGTTTTGTTACCGTTTATGTTTCAAAATGTTTCTAATGTGAAACCTGTCATTGTCACTAAAAACACTTTGATGTAGCTTCCTGCTGGTAAATCAGACTGATATCTTTTACATGAAAGCTAGCGTAAATTAGCCCATTTTGGACAAACTTTAAGGATTAAATAACCAAATTTTTCTTTTTCTTCCTCCTCATAAGGCATTTCATTCAAACCAATTTTCCTTGCAGCTCTTCAGAAAGAACCAGTTCTTTCTTGTTTAGATCTTTTTAAGTCCTTTAGTAACTTCCTTACATCTTAATTGTTAACTTCTAAGCCCACGGTATTTAGCTTGACATAATATCATACATAATAACAAAAACCAAAAAATTCTCATTGCCAAAGCTTCCACAATTTCTGTCTGCAACACAATATGGCTATAATTTCATTCAGTGCAGATTAATGCTTCTTTAAGTCACTTGCTTGTTTCGTTAATGAGAGTTAAACAAAGGGAAATACTAAAAGAATAGACTAGAAGAGAAACACGCTAATGTGACAATCAAAATCGTAAAAACAACCTTGTATTTAGCGTAAGTATAATGAAACACTCAATCGATTTCGAGGGCTGCTAAAGGTCCCTCCTCATCAGGAGAAGAAATACCTAGAAAGAAGAAAATAAAGAGGAAGGAGTCTCAGAAACACGTGGTCCTTATCAGCACTGCACGTGGTTATAACTGGATTTTTAATCAGAGTTGCACTGGCCGCCTACTTTTACTGAGCCAGGACAAGAAATGATCAAGCATAAAGGACAAGAAAAATTAGCGAAGTTAAAATAGGGAGCGAGGGGCAATGCACCTTCACGCTCAAAATCTGAACTTCAAATAAACCACTGAACGGATTTTTATACCCTCTGGTAATACCAAACGCGAGGAGGTAACGCCATCTATCGGCAAAAATAACTGAATTAAGATAGTAGAATTTTAAAGGCATTAGGAAGGACTGGATTGGACTTCAAATCATTAACTAAACCTGCTAAATCTTTGTGAATGTGAAAAGCCTCAAGAAAATCCAATTCACCTATGGAAGAAGCCTTTTGGATAATTTTTTCGCAGACCCAAAGTCAAAATTATGGTTAAATGTCCAACTATGATACGCTATTGAAGACTTGTTAACTTCGCCTTTTCTGACATAAGATTCCTGTTTCTTGATACGAAACTTCAACGCTCTTTTTGTTTGGCCAATATATCTTAAACCACACTAACACGATATACTATAAATTCCCCAAGAATTCAAGACAGAAACGCAATCTTTTAGAATCGAAGGGTGAATTTTATTAATAGGGGAGAAACCGACTTGAAAATTGAATTTCTGGAGAATCCGTGCAATTTTATAGCTAACAGAAGGATAAAATGGAAGCACGACAAGGTCATTAATATTATTTCTAACAGCGGAATGTCTTCTTTGATGGGAATCTGAAAATTTTTTAACGGCTTTATCAATAATCACGGGAGAAAATCCACGGTCAATCGCAACTGCTTTCAAATAATTCGCGTTTCTTCCTCGCGTTTGGTACTACCAGAGGGTATAAAAATCCGTTCAGTGGTTGCTTTCCATTATTTGAAGTTCAGATTTTGAGCGTGAAGGTGCATTGCCCCTCGCTCCCTATTTTAACTTCGCTAATTTTCTTGTCTTTGCTTAATGCTGCCAGAAAGTAGGAACCATCCCGGTGATTAGTATCCCTGGTGCGATAGGACATTTTTGGACATCCTTCTCATAATTACAATTAATACTTCTGTTTTGGGTAAGTTCAATGTTCCGTCTTACTTTCTTCGGGAACATGCAAGGACCTGACTCGGAACAGAGAGCTTACTAAAGCTATGTTCAATAATGTGGGAAGTAGACAGGATACACAAAGGGTATACAAAACCCTTTATTTTTCTCTCTTTACAATAATTTCCGTACTTCGGAATACAAGACCCACCACTTGGGGTCTAACGTAAGAATATAAAAATAAACTAAACTCTAATTTAACTTTGAAATAATAAACGTGGAAGATTGGCCTTATATTAACAGGAAGCCGTATGTAGTACAGAGAACTGTGAACACTACAATACGTTTAAAATTATCAAGAGGATTAAAACCTCTGGCCTGGAAGGCAACCAGCAACTGAGTAAAACTTCTAAGGTAAGCGGCCTGCTTCGACTAACTCCTTCCTCTCTCTCTCTCGCTTGGCAAAAAGCCACAACTTAAGTACTTGGCGTTCGCCAGACAAATTTTGCATAAATAAGTTAACGCTTATAATTCTGGCCGGAAGTAGAAAATAAGAAGTGATAGTAAAGATTTAAAATAAAATAAACGTTAGTAAAACTTAAGATCCTTACATACTTCCCGCCAGAGTTAATTAGTTTGAAACTGAGGTCTAAAACGACCTTGTTGAAAACTTTTAGCTCTAGAATCTAACGCGAGGCCAATCTTTTACAAACATTTCTCACTAGAAACTAGAAATTTAAAAAAAAAGAAATTTGTTTTTACAATAGCAGCTCCAAGGACACGCAATTTTTTTCATCTGTACTGCATCTAAACAGGAGCTTTTATTCAAATCTGGTTCCTTCCAGAGATCTGGAAGGAAAACTAGTTTAATGAAATGTTACACAATGAAATGGCAAGTAACATGATATTTATATTTCTCTTAACATTCTTATTTCATTCATGACTATTTTAATTATCTCTCCCCGTGCTCTCTGACATGTGTTGTAAAAGAACACCAAACACGAATGTGTTTCTGTATACGTGTTCAACACTTCCTCCTACAATCAAAACACTAACGTGTTAAAATTCAACATACCAAGACCTCGTAACACACCCTAACTTCAACTCTAAACCCTGAGGTACTATTCTGAAAGTGGCTAACTCTGAAGTGTAGCGTCAGAGAGCCTAACTACATTCATTCAACCTTTAACACATATTCACCATGATTTGGTCTTTTTACAGTCACACGAATAATAAAAAAAAATTTTAACATTACTTTCACTTTTACCATATCACGGTATTTCTTAACATTTAAAATAACAGTTCACATTGTATATAAGAACATATTAACATGCCGTTAATTTTACGCATTTGAAAACATACATTAGTAGTACATTGTTAACTTCTATTCTTTTCAAAGCAAGTGCCAATTCTTCTACATTGAAATAATACATTTCAAAAAGTCTTTCCGACTAAAACTTCTTTCTTGCCAGAATGTTTTAAATAAAATTTATACAATAACTTTTTACAATATTTAAGTCTTTACACATTCGCTATTATACATCAACTTTAGTTTTACGCGCGAGTAATTGAAAAACATAATACCAAAATCGGTAACAACTCATTTCTCGCCCTTTTGGCGATAAAGGTAGACCTCGCATGAGGTAAAACTTCTTGAAATCTGCCACTTGCAGTAAGAATGAAAGATTAACTTAAGTTTGCAAAGTAACATAAAATTTTACTTATCTTTGTGATATTCGGACATTCTTTTTTTCT